TGATTTAGATTTAAATAGAACTTGCACATATTGGTGGATTAGCCATTACAAAAATATAAAAAAATATTTTCATAATTACAAGTACTGTTAATTTAGGGCAGCTGTGGCATAAATCTTATATTGGGTGGTGGTCTAATACATTTATTAAGCACTAAATGACCCCTTGGCACCACCAAGCTTTGACCTATTGTGCCCTTAACATGTCTCAAAGGTTTGGTGATACAACAGGTTCTGTTGTTTGTGAGTCTATGAGTTGAATTTTTGTTTTTTTTGTTTACTTTTACTAAACTAATGATTCAACCTAAACCTTCCAGGATTTTAAGGAAACATTAACACGAACAACTATGCTGCACAGACCTCACCTTGTACAGCAAGCTGGTCCACAGTGTCTTTATGATGTTATGTTCTCTGTTGCCTGATTACAACTAAAGACTAATAATCTTTTCACATCATCAAGTTTATAATTACCACAAGTCATGCCCGTGTGATCTGATACTGTGCAGGCACAGCTTAAGAGGACAGGAATAGACGTTCAGCAGATGATCCAGGACAGAGTGAAAAAGGTGGAGGAGATCAAACACTCTGTGGAGCTTAATAAAGTGAGTTTTTACCTTTGCATGGCCACGTCACAATCTACACTCACATGGTTGTTCAACATGCATGTGCTTTTTGCTTTGTACTTTCAGGCCAGTGCTCAAAGAGAGATTGAGGAAAGCATGCAGGTCTTCTCGGAGCTGGTGCGCTCCATCCAGAAAACTCAGGCCGAGCTGGTTTTGGTCATCGAGGAGAAGCAGAGGCAGACGGAGAGGTGGGCTCAAGGCCTCATTGCTGAACTGGAACAGGAAATCACTGAGCTAAAGAGGAGGAACACAGAGTTGGAAACCGTTGCTCGGACTGACCACATTCATTTCTTAAAGGTGAGAGAGGCTTTGTTTCAGTGCTCAGTGTCGGGGAGCTAAATTTAAGTTGTGGTACTTGATATTTTACTGTGCAAGTTGTTCAAGTTCGTGGATATTTTTCTAATTTTTCCTTATTTTTTTCTTAATTTCAAAGGATTTTTATGGTAAAATGACACTTCCAGCATTTTGTTAACCCTCTGTTTTGCAGTGAAACCAGGTGCCTTTTACAGTATTCACTTAAAGCTAAATTAAATGACAACAGCGCCCTCTTTCTGCTCTGCACTGTATTGCATTCCAAAACCTGCAATCCAATCAAAGAGTAGCTTTGCATGTTTGTTTTGGCAGTGTTTCATAAATAATGGCCATTCTGATGCAACCCTGAGCATTTGAGTCTTTTAATTTGGAAATAATTCTACAACCATATTTGTTTCTTAGTTAGAAGCCTTAAAATCTTTGATCTGTGGTTATTTGAAAAGAACCATGACTGTAATTATGGTCATCTTATTTTAGTCAATAACTTGTTTCTAAGTTGTTTCCCCCCCTTGGGCTGTATCTTTCTG